CAGTTTGAGACTTCGTGTTGCATTTCCACTGCCCCAGGCACTGCAGGAGCATGACCCAAAGCTGAGCTCATGGCCTCTGCAGCACCAGTATTAATAAGCAAATATATTTCCCTGAGCTCTGCAAAGTTTGTGAAAATATTTGTTTTTCTCACCTCTCACCATATACAAAGGTTTTAATAAGCTTTAACAAACATACAAGCAAACAAACCCTTAATTAAAATAAATAATTCAGATTTCTAACCTGAAGGCTTCCATGAAACTTCGACAATCCCCAAGCACTCAGGTGATGATGGGAGAAAATATAACCAGGATAAAGACACTGCAGGAACATCCCACCACAGTGGCAGAGGACCAGTGGGGATGCTGCAATTTCCTCTCCCCCCACTTATGAGTGCATTTTGGGGTTTTTTGGGTGTAATTTTTGCTGTAAACACACCTGGCATGTAACTGCTCCTCTGCAGGTTCTTCAAACAGTGGGTCACACGCTCTGAGTGATGGTTGTTTTATTTTTTTTATTCAACTGTCATTGGTACTGGTTATTTGGGGTGTCCAAACCAAAATATCAAAATTGCAAGCTAAGAGAGCAGCAACACAGCAGATCCGTTGTAAACAATTTATTATTATTTTCTACCTCAGTTACTTACAGGAAAAAAGTCATAAAAAAGAAAAAAAAAGAAAACAAAAAAAGAAAAAAAAAGAAAAGCACAGATGGACTATTTACAAAAAATGAGAAAATTCACAATAGCCGAAATGTTTGCAAATCATGCACACTAAGACAAGTTCACAAAAGCAAAGCAATTCATAGCAAAAAACCCCCAAACAAAATCATAAGAAGCCATACAGATTAAAAAAGCTATTGCCTGCAGAAAAGTCAAAAGAAAACTACCCAAGTATTACATCAAGCATCTTTAATGAAATGAACAGCACAGCCATGGATTGTAGAGCCTTTGACACCGACATTTTAAACAAGTGGATTAACAAACATTAAAATGCATTACAGGTCTACTGTAAGCATGCACCATACTTCTCACAAACTTATCAAATGGGGAGCAACACTTCCAGAAGAGCAGAATTTAAAGAGAATGTGTGTTTTCTACCCCAAAGTCCAGAATCTGCTCTTGTTAAACAAAGCCAATGGGTGGAGGTTTGCAGCTCTCCTGCGACTTGGGTGGAGATGAAGAGGCGCAGTGTGGTGCAGCTTAAGCAGGGAAAGCTTGGCCACAATTTAGGAAATTTGCCCATGATTTGCAAGCAAAGTTTGGAAGGAGAAGCAGCTGCAGGGAGTGTGTGGGACCATCGCTGGTCAGAGCTGGGATCAAAGAATCGGAGAAACCCAGAACGGTTTGGGTTGGAAGGGACCTTAAAGCTCATCCAGTGCCAGCCCTGCCAGGGCAGGGACACATCCACTGTCCCAGGCTGCTCCAGCCCCACTGGCCCTGGGAGCGGGGCAGGAATCGTGTGGTGGCATCTCACCATGGCCCTCGTGTGATGGGGGCAGCTCCCAGAGCCCCAGGCCAGAGGGCAGGAGTGGGACACGCGTGGGGCAGGGACAGCCCGGGGTCACACAGGGCCCCAGGGACAGGGGTACCCGGGATGGCATTTGTGCTGCTGCTGGCTGTCACCACCTTACAAAGCGCCAGTCACTCTCTTTGGGGCTGTCTGTGAGACCAAATCAACCCCATCACCCTTCTCGCTGCGTTGATAAAATGGTTTCTAAGAAGTTTGTGAGAAGTCATGCCTTCGGAACGCCCCTGACCCCATCCTTGTGAGTTACATTCCAAGTGGGCATTAAAAACTCATAACAAAGCAGAGGGGGGAAAAAATAAAAAAAAAGCAAACTCAAAGCAGTGAGGATATGGAGCCTTTAAAAAAATAAAAATAAAATAAAAAGTCCAGTCAATCAAACCAGCCAGTAAGAGCAGCAATTTTTCAGTGGACATTGATATTAAACATGGACCACCCAGGCTTTCTCTGTCTCTCTCTCATTAGCACTGTAGTAAACCCCGATTAATTTGTTATGCATCTTTAAGAACTAGTTGATAAAAATTATGTCTTGTGAAATCGGCAAATAGTCTGCAAAGTGAAATAAGAACAGAAATTAATAGATTAAACTGAAAAGATAAGTCCCAGAAATAAAAAAAAAAAAAAAAAAAAAAAAAAGAAGAGACACAGAAAGGGAGTGATTGCAATTAAAATTAAAAAAAAAAAAAAGAGGCAATGTACTGCATGAGGAAGGGCTGGGAGGAGTAAGGGGATGGGAGGAGATAGAGCAGTTGCCAAAGGGTTGTGTGGCTTGCCCCTGGAGCCAGGGGCTGTCCCATGCATGGGAGAGGACATGGGACAGCCCCTGAGGGACAGGGACAAGGGAATGGGAATGCAAACAGGTGGGTCGTGGCACTTGTACCTCATTCACTTGGACAACAGGAAAAACCATCAGGACAGTTCAATCAGAAGGGAACTCCTTTTTCTGGCTTAAACGGACTGCAATAGTAACTGGGGAGCACAGCCTGCACAGGACAGTGCAGTGACAGCCCTGTGGGGTGACCCCAGCCACAGGGGCACTGCAGGGGACAGGACTGCGCTGTGTCAAACCCCGCAGAGCTCCTGGGAGCAGCCCAGAGTGTGACTGAACCTTTTTCTGTGCATTTTACTGAGGCTGCAGCACCGATGCATCCAGGGCAGGAGGCAGCTCAGAGCTGGGATGCTCCTGCAGAAACAGCCAATACTTGTCCCTCCAAATCACCACACCGAGGTTTTACCTGACACCTCACTCCTGCCCTGCTCCTGAAAGGCTCCCTGGCACCAAGCTGTGCCCTGTGGCACTGGGCTCTCTGCCCCAGACACTGCTGCAGCAGTGGGGACAGTCCATCCTGCTGCTGCACCACTCCCCACAGATCCCACCTGCAGCTCTGCAGGTTGTCACTCTGGAGACCTGAGCCCCAAACCACTCGAGAGGCTCCCAACAACTCTGCAAAGCTGCTCAGGAGTAACTGCTCCACAGGGGCAGAGACCTGGGCCAGGGGAACTCAGCAAGGTGAGTCAGGCCCTGAGCATCTCCTGGTGCTGCCTGGCTCCCCTGGGACACACAGATTTCTGGTGGGCACTGAAAATAACCAGGCAGTAACTGCAAGTCCTGCTTTGGTAAACACAGGCCCTTAATAAAAAACATCTAAGAAGGGGTCGAGTCAAAGAGGGCCTTTGCTGTCAGTGAGCAAACACATTCGCTTTAGACATGTTTATAATTAAACTCATCCAACCTCTGCAGATTTCTGACACTAAACCTAACAAAGGTGTCTCTCCTTCAATGCCTTCGTATCAGCAGGTACAGGGAATTGTGAGGAGTCAGAGCCTGAGACACCACGCAAACACCTGCTGAAGCCTCCTCCTCCTCCTCACCTCCTGGCTGCAATCCTGCCAGATCAGACTGTCCCGCTGCTTCCAGTGGAACCAGAGGTGGTGTCACCTGGATCTGGGGGCAACTGCCTTGTCCCCACCAGCACCGTGTCACCCCAGCAGCTCTGCTGTCTGCCTGACACCCCGGTTGTTTCAGACCTGGCCTGGTCCGGGTGGGAGAATGTACCAGAGGTGGAAAGAGGTGGCTCAGCTTTCAGAAGAGCCCTAGCATTTGTGGATTAAAGTAAACACTCCCTCACAGCACTGTTCCCCTCAGTGCTACCAGTCCTGCAGGAAACAGCTGCACAACAACCCCATCACGAGGACACTGCTTATCCTACGGATGACAACAATCCGTATTTTTCCAAAGCAGGGTCTCATCCTAATGACCTCAGGCTGCAGACACAGCTCCCCGTTTGCCCCAGCACGCTGCAGGCTGCCCACATCCTCACCCACCCCAGATAACTCTCCTGCGGGGTGCTGGTTTCCCTCCTGGCCCTCCCTGCTCCTGCAGGGGCTTTGCTGGGTGTCCGGGTGGCCCCAAGCTGCCAGCCCTGCGCTGTGAGCCCCGAGGAGGAGCACATCCCCGTGTGACCTGAGGAGCACATCCCCGTGTGACCTGAGGAGCACATCCCCGTGTGACCTGAGGAGCACATCCCCGTGTGACCTGAGGAGCACATCCCCGTGTGACCAGGCTGCTCAGAGCCCAGGGGTCTCCTCACCAGGGTGCCCAGGTGAGACTGCAGCCACGAACAGAGCAAAGCCACTGCTCTGCCTGGGCAAGCCTGGGGTGAAAGCAAACCCGGGTCCTGTGCGGTGCCGTCCCGCGGTGGGATGTGCTGGGAAGGGCCAAGGTTTGGGTGGGTTTGTGGGCTGCCCCATCCCTGAAGTGCCCAAGGCCAGGCTGGACGGGGCTCTGACCTGGTGCAAGGTGCCCTGCTCACTGCAGGGAGCTCTGGAGGTCCCTTCCAGCCCACACCATCCTGTCCTGCAGCTCCAGGACCCCGTTCCCCCCAGAGCCAGCCCCGGCTCCGCGAGGGGACCCGACCCCACCCCGAGCCCAGCACCACACAGGGCTGGGCAGGGCTGCTGGGGGACCCCCGAGCCGGGACCCCCCGAGCCGGCCCGGAACACGGCAGGGTGGGGTTTGCAGCCGGGAGCGAGCGCTCACTTACCACAGGCCAGCACGGGGAGCAGTGTGCGGGTCCCTGTGTGCGTGTGCGTGTCTGTGTGTAGTAGCTCTAGAGCATCTACGGAAGGAAAAGCCCATCAAAGGCAGGGTAACAGCTCTCCAGTGATCTCTCTTGCTTTTTTTTTTTATGTTTTAATTTAAGAAGTTTTGTTTTCAAATAACCAGTACCAATTTATACATTAGGGAAAAAAAAAAAAATAAGTGCTGAAAATATGTTGCTATAAAGGTCTATTTTAAAATTTAAAAAAAAAATAAAATTTGCTGTTGTGTGAGATGCTCCCTGCAGACTTGCCTGTCTCAGCTTGCAGCTACGGACTTAAAAAAGGAAAAAAAAACAAGAAAAAAAAAAACAAAAAAAAAAAAAAAAAGAAAGAAAGAGGGGAAATAAGCATATCTGCAAATGAAATGTACGTACCTGGGAACTGATAACTGTAACTTGGGGCAAATCCAGGATATCCTCGGCCATACGTTGCAACAAAATTCGGATAACCTTGATCACAGAAATGTAAAAAAAAAAGAAAACAAAACAAAAAAGAGAGAGAAGTTTGAGGATTAGTGAAGGTTTTTTTTAATATTTTGTTTGTTTGTTTGTTTTTTAACACAATGCACAATGATAGGGAGGCTGGGTGAGACCTAATTTTACGGAGGGTATTAAAAAATCAGATTTATTCTGCTCATGCCAAACTGCAGAGAGGTTTCATCATTATCCTGAATAGAAACATCTTGAGCTGGCGGCGCTGGCCCAGCTCCGAGCAGGAGCCCTGTCACTCTGGTAATTAACATGCACTTTGGTGTCTGGAGCCCAAGGACTGTGCATACTTGTTAGCTGGAAGAGTAAATGCCAAATGCTAAGGCTAAACACATAACACGGGTTTGCTCTGACATTTGGAGAGCTTACAATGAATGTACTTTGCTTCAGAGCTATTGACAGTTGGAGATTAAGGTAGTAGTAATTCTTTATCCCGGGAGTGTGAAGGACAACAGTTAACACATCAAAGAGCTGGAGGCAGGAGCAGCAACGGGCCAGGGAGTCAAAGAGCTTTTAATTTTCCAGGAAATTAAAAGGAAGCTGCCTGAGTGCTTCTGAAGACCCCTTCTGAGGCAGAGCAGCTGACCTCGGGCAGCTTTGCCAGGTTTGTTAGGAGAAAAGTTCACTTTTCTGGTGAATAAAAACACCTCAGTGATGGCAAAAGCGTCATCTCTGCTGGCTTCAGCCTCCTGTCTGTGGATGAATGTGCTGGATGTCCCACTGACCCCTGGCTGCGTTTGGGCTGGCAGCACCCATGGGGTCACACGCTGTGACACTGCCTGGTTGAACTGCCCCACAGCCATTCCCTCTGCTCCCACAGTGCTATTTGCTCTGACCAGGATGGCCAATGTCCCAGGGTGTCCTTTACACTCAGGGTGTTTCCTAAAATTCTAACCTCACACTGATCCTCAACATTTCCTCGCTCAGTTTTCCTAAAAGCAGACATCACCCTGTACAATTCCTGTGCCCCACACATTGAGCCTCAGCGTCAGCCCTCTCCAAACCAAGAACCCACCAGGAAAAGTTCTCTCCTGCAGTCTGAAGAGAGTGGGAATCTCGGCAGGAGCCGGGCTGGAGCCTGGGAACACGCTCAGCAGCTGAATGGCTCTTCTGGGGGGCTGCTGTGCCTGCTTTTATTTACCCTGTAACACCCTCATCCATCACTCGGCTGCTTTCCTGCTGCAGCAAGCCCCTCCACTTCCAATCACATTTGCACATACACGCAGCGTACTATAAATCATAATGGAAAACTGGAAGATAAAAATGCTTGGATGAATCCTGATGATGGGATTAGGCAGTGCCGGGGAAGGCAGCCCCGAGACGCCCGGACAGCACACGGGTATGTACACACTGCTTAGCCCTCCTTCCACAGCTCAACAGCTGGATTCCCGCAGAAATTAATCACCTCTGTCATTAAGTCAGATCTTTCAGAGTTAAGCTTTACAAACCTTTTTTCCTTTTTTTTTTTTTAACAGCACTATTGATAAATGGATTGTTTGCTAAGTAAGTAACGCCATTAACACCATTGAAAAATCACTCTGCAGCGGCCACTGCAGCCCCTCTCTCCTTGCCAAGAGGAGGAATTCAGCTTGCTCTGTCTCAGACAGTTCTGAAGCAGATCTGCCAGCTCACAACTGCCAGGGCACAGGGGCTGACGTGCTGGGCAGCACCTGAGCTCTCAGGTGTGGTACCTGTGGCCCCAGCCAGACCAGCACATGGGGGATGGCAGCTGCCCACAGTGCTTTGGATGCCACCTCTTCTGCTGCCTGCCCTGGAATGGTGCTGACTCTGACCCCAGGGCAGCCCTGGCAAACCTGGCTGTGCCTGACAGCCACAGCACCAGCCAAGCTGCCCGGGGGCTCTGCTGGCACCGCCAGCACTCAGCGCTCTCAAAGTCAGGCAGATGAAATCATAAATTTATAATACAACATTACTTCAATTTTCCTCTTCATTTACTGCTGCAGTGTCCAGCTCTGCTCTAACGACTCGAAGCCTGATCCTCGAGTCTGATCCTCATGGGGACATTGCCTGGCTGAATATCAATGGTGTCTAACACCACACCTCCATGGACGCTTCATCAGGCCAAATGATGGCCACGCTGACCTACCCAACATTCCCCTTAGGTGCCATCCTCATCCTGCACTGAGCACAGAGAGGCTGATTTGCCTTGGTAGTCCTGGGGAGTGACCAATCCCTTGTAAGGAAACCAAAAATCCAAGTTTTGACTGGATCACCTCCTTCAAAGCAAGACTGTCCTGTCCACAGAGGCAGACCTCAAACCAGCAGTCAAAGCACTTTCACACCACTGCTCCTACCCAGCTCCTGTCCAGGCTGTGGAAATGTATCTTCATTTTAAAATTTGCTAATGGGGTGGACAAAAGCTCATGGTCAACATGTGGGAATGCTGAGCACAGAGGAGCCAGGGGACCCGTGCAAAATTAGTTCAAATGCTCCAGAAAATGCAAGGAAGCTGTTGTCTCCAAATGTTGCTCTGAGCTGCAGCTGCTACTCCCTTGAACAGTGTCTGGTGGAAAAAGGAATGACTTTCTTTGAAGGGCACAAGCTTCTCTAATGCATGAGCTCAGCCTACCTAGACTGAGCGTGAGCAGGAACACAGAGCCCTGCCAGAGACCTTCCCAAATCCGTGTTCCACCACACATCGCTCCAGCACCACGGGCTGTGAGCTTGGGGGCCGAGTGCTCCCATCTCTAGAGGGGTTTGCAAGCTGAAAGGAGCCCAGTTTGAACATTAAACACCAGGATGATGCCCATCACCAGGAGAAACGAGTGCTGCCAGCCCCTGCTCAAGGCAGGCAGCACAGGGTCACCTCCAAAGCTATGTGTCACCATTGTGGTGACTGCAGTGTCCCAGACACAAGAGATGGGAGACAAAACCCGTCTTTTCTTTACCACTTTTCAGGCACAGAGCTGACCAGAGTGCAAAAAGCTCTGGGGCAGTGCTGTGACACCCACATGCCCTTGGTGACAGGGCTCCTGGTCTGCACACCAGGGCCAGGTGCCAGCGCGAGGCTCCAGGCACAGAGAAGAGTTTCCTGGTCACCAAACTGCTCCCACTCAGCCACAGAGGGGGGCACACAGGGCCTGTTTGTGAGCACCCAAGGGGCTGGGCAGCAGCTCTTCCTGCTGACAGGGAGAGCAGTGGAACTGAACCTGCTCCACTCTTTGCAGAGAGGCTCATTAAAGCCCCTGCTCTGCCTGAGACCAGCTGTCCCACCAGCAGCCCGAGCCCCAGACAGCGCAGCAGCCATCCTGGCAGAAGGCTCAGCCTGCCCCTGCTCTCCCAGTAAAAAAATCCTTTCAGAACACTTTAATTTTGCTCCAATCAACCAAATCATCACAGAAGCGGCTGCCTGCGCACCTTTAGACCCTGGCTGCTGCAGGCTCCTTGGGGAGGCTGTGATTAATGAAAAAGACCAACTTCCTTAATAGCTTTGGAGGGAGTCGCTCCCCGCTCCTTCCTTGGGGTTGTCTCGTGCCTTCGTTCCTCTGATTCCCTCCTCTGCCCATGAACAGCAGCTGGAGAAGGTGACCTTGAGCAAGGGCTTCTGGAAACAGGTAAGAAAACCCTTCCAGAGCAGCCCCAGTTGCTCTGGTTCAGTCCAGTTGGGCACAGACCAGAAGACACGGGGCAGACCTGACCTGGCCTCGTGAGCCCCCACAGAACGCTCAGCAGCAGCGGTAGTGATGGAACTCTGTGTCTGATCATTTGATGGGTTAATTATGCCCCTCTTCCTGCAGGGATGAGCCCTGCAGCCTTTGAAACCAGGGCTTTCTGACGGCCATCCAGCAGCTCTGCTCTCCCGTGCTGCAATTTCCTTGTTTAGCACTTAATTATTTAATACGGTGCCACGGTAGCAAGCAGGAACTTGGAAGATGAAAAACCAGCTCGAGTGGATAATGAAGCATCTGGCCTTCACCATGGATCAATCACTAATGCTCAGCCAGTCCCCAGATCTGAAATGCAGGGAGAGCAGTGCGGGGCTGGCTGGAGCTGCACTGCTCAGGGTGACCCCACTGCAGCGGGACCAACAGGTCCAACAGGTGCCCAGCCCTTCCTCTGGGCAGCTCCACTCACTGAGGGCTGCTTCCCTTAATTCTCACAGCTTGAGATGATCCTTTCTCAGAGACACAGCCCCAGTGGGAACAGACTCACGCTGCACCCGGGGGCTGAATTTTCCCTTCTGGACACTGGGGTGGATCCAGCTCCGTTCCCTCTGCGCCCAGCTGCAAGGAAAGGAGCTGAGGCCATGTGGTGGAGGATGATGCCCATGGATCTTCCTGGCTTCCCAGGGTGAGCTGGACTCTCCTCCTGCAGCCAGCAGGACAGGCCAGCACAGTGGCACACAGAGCTCCACACCCCACCTCCACCAGCACAGGTGGGAAAGGAAGAGAAACAGCAGAAATCAAGTACATTGGCTCAGGCACGCTGGGAACACACAGGTAACGAAATCACAGACTGACTAGAGCAAGATAAATATTTTAAGCACAAAATGTGATTTCCAAACACTATGGGGCAGGGTGGCAGTGGAGCGTGGGGACAGCAAAACAGATGATCAGCTGAAATAACCCAATTACACATCCCAGAAATGGATCGCTCCAGCCACACCAACAGAAGTACTATTAATTCTGAGATAAAGCAAACATGGCAGAAGTTCTTCCTATCACATCAAGCAGTGCCTGGTGTCAGACACCTCAGTGTAACAGCCTGGTCCTTGCAGGAACTGGGTCCTCTGACCTGATGCTCACCCCAGGGGCTCTGGGGTCCTCCAGGATCTCAGCCAGCCCCCAAATCTGCTCAGCAGAGCTCGGGGCAACCCAGATCCCAAGGCTGGGCTTTGTGCTCGGTTTCATCTAAACCCAGCACAGGAAAGTCAAAGCATCCTGAAGGGAGACCTGGCCTGGGAAAGGCTCACTGCTGCCTGGGGTCACCTCCAGATTGCACTCCCATTCCCACACACTTACACAGGAGGGGAAATCCAGGGATACAAAGGGAGCAGAAAGTTTAAAATATACAGTGTTTTACAAAAAAAAAAAACACTGGCAATGGATTAGCAGCATTTTGGCCGAGAACAGAGTATCTGGGGTTGCCACATTATTTAGAAAGAATTATCTAAGCAGAAACAAATGAGAACCAATTATAACTAAATAGACCTCGTGCACAAATAGGAATTTGCCATTAAGTATCATTTATCCCATTTAATTAGTATTTTCTGGACACAATACTCAGGACTAAAATACCATTCTATCTCCTTGAAACTTGTAATTATTGTTGCGACCTGTCCTGTTACGCATCCCCCCACTTCCTCCATCCATGCCATTTAAGAACCAGCAAGATTTTCAATTATCTATGCTGAACTGTCAAAGCTACCTTTAAAAGAAGGGGAATAATGTGTGACTCAATTCCTCTAAAAAAGGGGAGAGATCATTTTTAGTCAGAATGAACACACTGCATCTTTCATCATTCTATTTTTGCGAGTAAGAGTAAAACAGGCTATTTAAAACATCCATTTAAATGCAAATTTTTTATATTCCAGGCTGGGGGGGTGGAGGGGGGGGGAGTTAATCATTTACCACAGACAGGATTATTTTCTTCACTCCACCCCTGCTAAAGTTTCAACCCACACAGGTGTGGGGATTTGCTCAGGCCTGTGGCTTAAGGGTTTGGAAATGAGGGAGACAAGGGAGGCTCTGAGTGGTGGCTGTGGCACTTACCCAACATTCCCATCCCTAGCATGAAAGCGTCCATGGTGTACGGCAATCCACGTGCCCTTCCTCTCGTCCCTGGTGGAAACATCACTTCTTTAGGTTGTGCTTTCTTACATTCTACCTATTGAGCAGAAACATGTACAAATGAGATGCAAATGAATTCCATGTAAATGTCAAATGCAGAACTGATCTACTTAAGGGGGGGAGGTTTATTTTTAGCGTCTGCCTCCCCACACCTCCTCCCGCTCAAAGGTGAACTTCCAGAGTAGCATAACCAGGTTTGAAAGAGCAAACGTGTGCGTCCCTTTAACCACCCACCACAGCCCCCAAAATGACAGAAGTGCTGATTTAAGAAGTTCTGTGTTCCTGAAAGGGAATCTGGCACTTGTGGGAGCGGGATGAATGGAAGGAGGGCTCCAGCACGGCTCCATTGCAATCGATAACACAGAACGACTCCCAGTGATCATTACAAAAAGCTCCTTTTAAAATAGGAATACAGAATCAATATTTCTACCCAGCAGAAAATTTCTGTAAACCCTATCAATAAAGGATCTGCATTCTTTCACTTTCAGTTACTCCTGCTGCCATGGGAAGTTGCTCAGTGCCCCTGGAACCACGTGCCACCACCAATGCCCTGTGAGACAGCAGCCCAGCCCTGCTGCCAGGGGACACCCAGGGCCCCAGCCAGCCTCTTTCTCCCAGAAGGAGGAGAAATACAGCACTTCTCCATGGTTTCCTGCCCAGGCACTGTCATCTCACCCCCAGCAGACAGACAGCTCCTGCATTCTCCTCAGCACTGGGCTGCAGGCTGAATCCACAGGTTTGAGCTTTGTGCCTCTAACCCTGTTCTGATTTTTAACCAGAGTGCCATTTAACAGGAGTCTGCCCAGATGATTCCTCCAGTCAAATGACAGGGGGAGCACCAGAAGTGTGGCACGTCACTTCATTTCACAAGCACATGTTTTGGGAGGGCCACTGCTCCCAGTGTCACAGCAGCACTGGTTACACCTCAGGGCCACTGGTGCTGCACAGCCAGGATGATAAAACCCATCCAGCCTGGATGGATGCACAACTAACAGGGAAATGAAGTTTGGATTAGCACTGTTAGAAACAAGAATCTGGTAATTAGCTTTTGCAACCACAACCCAGCCCACCGCTGCTCTCTGCCAGCCTGGCACCACTTCTGATTTCCACAGCACACGTGGGTACAAAGGGAATGGCAGTAACTGCAAAGGGGCTTAAACCAGGATTAAAGCAGAAGCAAAAGCAACCAGTAGGAAAGAAAAATAATTCCTGAGCCTCTGTAAACAAATATACCCCACATGGAAGAAGATTCTCTGTTATCCAGAGTCTCTCTCCATGTGAGGGATGACACGTGGGGTTCGGGACTGGGAGCGTGGCCCTGCTCTGATGTCCTGGGAGAGAGACTGCCTGACACTGTCACACTGCCCAGGCACCCGTGCCAGACCATGAGGTGTTTCGGGAAGCTGCCCACGCACCATCCCATCAGCAAACTGGGACAATGCTGGGACAGGAGGGAAGCACAACACTGGGGGCCTGGATGGTGCCTCTTCATCAACAGCAAAAGCAGAAGGAAACGGGGCCTGGCTGCTCTTCTGCCAGAATCCAGCCCTGTCCTTACAGGGAAGGGATGGCCAGAACCATTCCAAAGCCACAGTTACCTCAAGGGGAAAACCCTGGAGGGATGTCAAACATGTGACAGGACATGCAATGGGGCTTCTCCAAGAGGAAATGTGTATGGATTTATGGCTCAGCTCCATACCAAATTACCCCCGAGAGCTGCCTGATAAGGGTCTTTGTACACACATCTGGACCTGACTCAAACTTTCAATTCAGAGTTTCTGGGCATCTTAATAATTTCCAGATTTTTTCCACCTCCTCCTATGAGGATGTGCTACACTTTCAGCAGCCCAACAAAGAAAGGCTTAACTCTAAGGCTAAAAAAAAAAAAAAAAAGAAAAGAAAAAAAAGGCAGGAAAACTAAAATTCACTATTTTTGTTTAGTCTAGTTTGGAGAATTAACCTTGCACTAGGTACTCCTGGGTCAAGCGGAGCAGTCTCAGCCACGGGACCCCAGGAGGGCTGAGCTGGGGAGTGAAAAGCCTCTTATACCCAGCACAACAAAACAGGCTGTCAGCCCTCAGCCCAGGATGTCTCACAAACCCCTGGTTAACAGCCTGCCAGGGAAACCAGGGCTATTTTGAGGAAAGCAGAATGCAAATAGCCACAATGCACAAACCCCCATTGAGCCACCCAAAGACAAGGGGACTTTGTTGTGCCAGCCCCGTGAGCCTGGGGGGCTCCGATCACCTTGGGGACAACGTGTCACTCACACCATGGCCAGCCACACCAGGCAGCAGCAGAGAGGTTTTCAGCTCATTTTAAAAAACACACTGAGTCGTGGGTCTGTTCATCTACCACACTACTGATCAGTGGCTGGGGCTTGGAATTAAACGCTCTGGAACAGGCCCTGGCTCAGAGAAGCTGTAGCTGCCCCATCCCTGGAAGTGCCCAAGGCCCACAAAACCTGCAAAATCCCACCCTGAGAGGGAGGAAGAGCCACAGGTGCTGGCCAGTGTAACAGCCTGCTCTAGACCAGGGCAGCATTTCTGTCAGCTGCTCGAGAGCCTGACATGAGACCTTGACTCCAGGCTCAGCTCATCGCCCCTCTCGCCAGCACTGTACCCAGGAGGTGAGTGACTCCACCACAGCGGGATCCTAGGGAAAGTAATTACTCCATCACATTTCTTTTCCAGCTACTTTTACTCTTCCTTAGAAAAACAGGTGTCTCTTTGCAAAGCAGCCTGCTCCTGTCAAAGAACAATAGTCCGGGAACAGCTCCTTTGGGTTTATTGTCCCCCTGCACCGTTTGGAGCATCTCTGGCCTCCCACGTAAATTCCAACTCCCATTTATTAAATACCTCGCTGGCATTTTCTTTTCACTGTCCTACTGCTCGTTTAATATTACATTTGACATTCTAAGCTTTATGGATGGCAACAGAAGCTGAATGGATGAGCTAAAAATATCCTGCCGGGGAGGCTGGAGCTGGAACCAGGCTGGGGAGCGGCCGCCCCGCTGCCCTCTGCCTGCCCCTGCCTTGGGGGAACGTCCAGGAGAGGAGAGACAGCGAGCCAGGGCAGCCCACGGGGCTGTGCACGGCCCAGCTGAGCCCCACGGGCACGGGGACGGGGACACGGGCGGGAGGGGACAGGGATGGGACAGGGATGGTGACAGGGACAGGGCGGGAGGGGACAGGGATGGGGACAGGGACACGGGCAGGAATGGGACAGGGACATGGGCAGGGATGGGGACAGGGATGGGGACAGGGACATGGGCAGGGATGGGGACAGGGATGGGGACAGGGACACGGGCGGGAGGGGACAGGGACACAGGCGGGAGGGGACAGGGGCAGGATGGGACAGGGATGGGGACAGGGACACAGGCAGGGCTGGGACAGGGTCATGGGCAGGGATGGGACAGAGAAGGGGACAGGAACAGAGGCAGGGATGGGGACAGGGACATGGGCAGGGATGGGTACAGGGACATGGACAGGGATGGAGACAGGGATGGGGACAGGGACAGAGGCAGGGATGGGGACAGGGATATGGGCAGGAATGGGGACAGAGACATAGGCAGGGATGGGACAGGGACACAGGCAGGATGGGGACAGGGATGGGACATGGACATGGGCAGGGATGTGGATGAGGACAGCGTGTCCCAGTCCCAGCTCACCGAGCCTCTGCAAACCCCATGGCCTCGGGCTGGGGAGGCGAGAGCCGGTCCCCTCCACGAGAGCTGCTCCCCTCCCCGGCCCAGGGACACAGGGGACAGGACGCTGGTCCCCTCCCCGGCTCAGGGACACAGGGGACAGGATGCTGGTTCCCTCCCTGGCTCAGGGACGCAGGGGACAGGACCCCGGGATGCCAGGACCCCAGCACTGCCCCAGGCAGCTGTGTGCCATGCCAGGCCAGCTGTGTGCCCGTCCCAGCTCCCTGGCCCCGCAGGATGGCATTCAGCTGCAGACACAGCAGCAGGGAGATGACTCAGTCCAAGGCAGGATCATGTCTCATCCCCTCACTGCCTCGTGGGCTGCTTTCAAAATCAGTGCTGAGGGAGTGACATGAAGGGAACTTGGAGATGGTGGCACTTGGAGGGGGCACTGAGCGGGCACAGGAGTGGGAAGGGGATATTTTAATTACTCAACAACAAACACCAACACCCGAAACTGTTTCTCTTGCTCTTTCTGATGTTCCTCGAGTGTTTTCACCCTGTCTCATCCTCCACGCTCCCTGCTACCTTCCTGGGCAGCCTTCCACCGGGGAAGGAATCCTCCCAGGAGCTCCATGTTATTCCTCCCCTCCCAGGAGATGCCAAGAGCCAGGTGAGGCTTTTCCAGCCCACGGTGCAGATGCAGGGATGAAGCATCAAACACTGTCCCTGCCTGGGGCACACCTGCACCTCTCCAGGGCAATCCTGAGCCCTGCTCCAGAGAAAAGCCTGCTGTGAGAACAGCTAAACCTATGGAATGTGCCCTCCTGCTGTGGACAGGAAAATCCTGGAGGGGAGCTCTTCCCTCCCACCTGGCAATCCCTACATTTACATTTACATCAGTGTTTCTAATTTGTCATTGGTTGGGGTTTGTTCTTTTGTTTTAAGGCAGCATTTAGAAACTAAATAAAGGGAATGAGCCTCCCCCCACCCCAGAGGCTCTGTGGGGACAGGGAGGAGACCCCAGTGCAGGAGGGGCTGGGGACAACAGGACAGGCAAAGTCCACAGCATCCCTGTGAAGTGGAGCAAGAGACTTCCCACAGGACCAGGAGCCCTGCCCCAGCCCTGCCCACCACCCCACACTTGGCCAAGGGGACCCCCACTTTTATTTCAGGTGCATATTGCAGGGAGCAACAATATGAGGAATATTATTTCAGTGCCCTGGGAAAAATTAGCAAGTCAAATATTGAATCAGGCCTCCAGCATATGCCAAGGAGATTGCTTTGATCTTATCCACACTAAAAGCTCTATTATTAAATTTAAAGTCTGTGAACACATATCAGACTGATATACAATGCATATCTGAATACACATTTGAGAAGCAAAGGATGTTTTGACAAAGGGAAAAAGAATATTTTAGCCGAAAATATCAAAGTTACTGCAGCAATTGAAATACAAATGCCCCTTTTCATCTGGCTCAGGGCAACCCACAACCTGGGACCTGCCTGTCATTGAGGAGGAACTTCAGCTGGGCTCTCTGCTTGAGGAGCTGAGCTCACACCAAACCCTGCTCGGGGGCAGCTGCCTGAGCCCACCAGCCCTGCAGCAGGTGCCCAGCACCCTCCCAGAGGGGTGTCCCTGCACCCCCGGGCATGGCACACACCAGGGATGGGGGTTCAGAGCTCCCTGCCACTGCCACAACACTCACCATTTTATTATTGATTTCGTGGAAATGAATTTCACAGACTTTTTCAACCACGTCTTCATTTTCAAAGGTTACGAAGCCAAATCCTATTTAATAAAGACACAAAAAGGGGAGGGGTAAGGAAAACATTAGTTAAGTGTAACAATTTCATTTTAATAAAGCATTATTTAGCCATGGGGACTTTGGAAAACTTCCATAACAACACACATGTGTGTACACCTGCTGCCTATGGAGATGTTCCTGAGCTATTGCAGCCTAATGGAGGGAAGAAGCATTGTCTCAGGGAAAATTAATACGGTTCTGTTCCAGCTCTTCCATAGGATTTAATGGAGAATTAAAACCTCCTTATGGATTTTTTGATCCATCCTGCAGAATTTAATGGATAGTTACACCCCAGTTACATGATGGCTCGGAAACTACAATAAGGCCGTATTTTCTTTTACATCTTATAGGTTTTTAAGAGCAATCTCTACAAAACCCAATTATATTTCTATGGAACCATATTGATTTCATCTCTTGTTTAATTCCACGGGACTTCTCCATTAGAGCTGACTCATTACGCGACCCAAAAGCCATAAAACTCTGGGAAGACAGAAGATGATTCCTCATTTACCCCTGGCAAGGAGAAAAACCCCAGTGCTTCCCAAACACAGAGCAGCCCTGAGTGCGCTCTGCAGCCTGCCGGGTCAGCCCCGCTCCGGAGGTGGTTATTTGTCCCTTTCTTCCTGAATTACTTCCTCTAATACCTCATCAGGACATCCTGAGGCCTCCAGGAACCCATTACACTTGAGGCCTCTGATCTAATCGCTCCTCTCTTCCCCAGGGCAGCTTCAAAGAGCCGAGGGTTTGGGCTGGTTTGGGCTGTTTGATGCTGTGGCTGTGCCCAGCTCTGCTGGGGCTGGGCTGGCACCCACCGCAGCACACCCTGCTCCTGCCCGGCCAAAAATCCTCCGGCTAATGACAAACAAACCCAATCCATGCGCTGGAGAAGGCTCCAGGAGTCAACATGGACGCTAATTACGCTAATGAAATGTTGAGACCCCAGTGAGAGGATGCGCTCCATCCCCAGGCTGGGAGCTGCTGTGCCGGGCAGGACCAGCCCCACACATCCCTGTCCCTGCCCGGGGAGGAGGGCGATGCCAGGGGATGCCAGGCCATGCCAGGCGATGCCAGGGGATGCCAGGCGATGCCAGCAGCTCCTCGGGAATGCACAGTGCCTGCAGCCTGGGGAACGCTCCCATTCCCCTCCAGACCCTGGGATTGGGGCAAAGACCCCCAGGAATGGTTTCCAGCCCTCCTCCAGGGCAGAACACAGCTCGCCACACGGCTCTGCTCTGCACTTGGAGCAGGCAGCCGCTTGAATTTTTGTACATAACTCACGTCTTTCATTTGCCTTCTAAATCGCTCCGTTTAGATCCACCTTAAACAGCCCTGCAGTTAAACCCAGAATTTTTGTGGTTAAGTGCCTGAATCCGGCATCCCGGGAATCCCAGCCTGGGAGCAAAGCGTGGCCGGACCGGGGAGGAGATGGCCGGGCTGGGGCTACAAGTCATTAATTGTCTGAGCACCAGCAACATCTTCATCATTAGCAGCTCATTAGCGAGTGCTGCAGTTGAGGATTCCTCCTTCAACTCGTGTTAGGTCTCGGTGCCAGGATGGAGGGGAGAGGGAATTTAGGAGATTAGCCCTAATATGCGAACACCACGAGGAAGCCACAGCAGTCATTTCGTGTCTGGACTCGGAAATAAATTTCCCATTTTCATCCCACCCCATATGGCTTAAGCACAGGTTTATCAAGAAATGATTTGTCTGATTAAATCAGATGGCCGCCCAGCTTCCCGCATTTCCAGATTTTACAACAATAAAATAACAATCCGTAGGTGTTAGCAGGCTTTTGCAAGTATCTGAAAGATCTTTGGCACTTGGTCAGACTGGCCTGGAGAGGAAAAGGAGAAGAAAACCAGAGGTGACCTCTACAATGCCCAACACCTCAAGCACGGTGGGAGCAACCAGAGGATTTCCATCTGCAGGCACACAGGCACCTAAATTCCTCCCTGGGAGGGTGGAAAGGGCCTGGAGCAACTTGGGACAGTGGAAGGTGTCCCTGCCATGGCAGGGAATGGGCACCTATGGTTCCTTCCAACCCCAACCATCCTGTGATCCTCTTCTTGTTTCACTTTTTGGATATCAAATTCCAACTTTTAGTAACTGCACCCACACAAAGATCCCCCTGCACGCATGGTCTTATTAGTTCCCCTAATGAATACACGCTCGTATTTAAATTACAAAAACTCTCAGAAACCTTCCTGGGATAAATAGACAATTATTTCTTCTGAGAGGTACCAAGAGTCAACAAAAAAATGGTTCTCGGAAAGTGTATGGAAAAGATTAACCCAAAACAAAGGCGGCTGTTGAAAACGGTGACAGAAATAGGATTCCGGTTGTCAAGGAGCACACGTTTTAAAATGAAATTATACTGCATCCTTCTGAATGAAGCTATTATTGGAAGCTAACAAGCTCTATTTAAGAGATAAGCATTTAACAGAGTCAAACGGTTGGGTTTTTTATTCAAATGAATAAAACTGAATATTCATTTAAATAATCTTTTCTGTAAAAGAAAAGACAAAGAAGAGGCAGAAAAATAAAGTAAGAGGCAAACAGATGCCCCAAATGAGAGGCTCTGAGCCAAGCACCAGCACTAAAGGGAGCTGAGACATGTATCTATGACCTTCAGGTGAAAAACCCTCCTCTGGTATCTACTGGGAATGAGGAGCTATTCCACACCATTCATCTGCTGAAGAAGGAGTCAGCCCACTCCATTCCTCTGCTGGTTCACGGGCACCAACAGGCACCAAAATGATGCCAGCCCAGACACCTGACATCCAGTGGTGCAGGACACATCCTCCAACACACCCTGACACCAGGAAAAAGAAGAATTCAGGAAGAATTTCTTCATGGAAAGGGTTGGAAGGGGCTGCCCAGGGAGGTTTGGAGTGCCCATCCCTGGAGGCGTCCAGGGAATGACTGGAGGTGGCACTCAGTGCTCTGGGCTGGGGACAAGGTGGGGATCAGGGACTTGGGTGATTTTGGAGATCTTTTCCAACCCCAGTGATTCTGGGATTCCGTGAAAAACCTCCTTTGATCCCAAGCCCTGTTCAGCCACCACAGCTGCCCAGGCCTGTGGGAAGGCAGCACCAGAGTCAGCTCAGCAGGTTCTGCCAGGGTATTCCAGAAATAAAACATGGTTCAGAGAAAGGGACTGAAACCATAAACAGACTAAAATACTATAAAAAAACAGTCAGAAGCCATAAATACTATTAAGAAGCCAGACTGAAGATACCAAATGTCAGGACTCCCGTGCTCTGTATTTTGGGTTTTTTTTTCACACTCTAACCAACTACATTTCACACTTTTGTCATCACTTGTGATTTTTTACGTCCAACTTGGTAAAATACAGCCGAGATGACGACACCACGACTAAGAAGCGGATCTCTTTCCCTGGCAGCACCATCCCAGAGCCCCAGCTCTGGCTGCACAGTGATCGTGTCACAGCTGTAGTGCACACACATGCCCAGGACGTCACTGGCTGGCAGAATCACACCAAAGCAGCTCACCCGGCTAAAGGTCTCACTGTCAACCCTCTGCTGGCCTCTCAACAAGCAAAACAAGGTGATTGCATCCCACGCCACAGAGGTTAAACCCAGGCTAGTGCCCCAGAGGGCTCTGATGGGCAGAGCAGGCTCAGCCCCAGCCCCAGCCAGAGCAGTGCCAAGGTGCCAGCACCTCCATCAGCACTGGTGCCTGTGCCACACCCAGCCCTCCAGGCAGGCACAGCTCCCAGGGGCTCTCCAGTGGGTGAACACACTGCAACTAGACATGTTTTATGTCCCAAGCTGTCTGGAGGTCCCCTGCTGATGTGGAGCAAGTCACTCACTCTCATCACTGCCCTGCCTCTGCCCGAGCTGTGCCCACACTGCTGGTGAGCCTGCAGCAGGGACAGCCTCATCCTGCACTTACAGCAACCAGGGAGCTCCTGAAAATATTCTGGGAACCAGGGGATCACCAGGGCTCTTTTATCCTGCACAGCAATCCCAAAGAGCAAGGGCAGGAGACAAAGGAGGAGATTTACACAGCCCCTGTCACACCAACACTGCCTAAAGCTGGCTCCTGGTGCCCAGCAAGCATCACCCCAGAGCCACTGGTGAGTGCAGGGTCAGCCCCCTCTCTGACAGTGCTGCACAGTACCATCCTGCTCCTGACCCCCACCCACCGGGCACTGGGACGGGTCCTGGGGGTCCCTGGTGCCTCCAGCCCTGCCATGGGAGCTGCCTGAGCAGCAGCTGTGCTGTGTGATCAGATGGGGATCTCCAGCCTGACACCTCCCAGCAGCTTCCTCAGGAAATACCAGCTCAGGCTGTGCTCCCCCTCTGTGCCAGGGCTCCGGACCTGTGCCACGAAAGCTCTGAGACACAGAGAGGTCCAGTCCTGCTGTGGTATTATTTATGCACCTGCTTCCTTGTTTATACCCATAGTTTTGGCAGCTGGTCCTGTGAAAGGTAATAAAATGCCTTTCAAAAGTAAAAAAAAATTAAAAATGAAGAAATGTGACTAGACAAGCCAGGCATAATAACATTAAAGCCCGTGTCAATTAATTTTTCCTCTTCTTGATAAACGAGCCCCATTCCATCCATTAATAATGAGGGAAGAAACAAGAAAAGTTGACACTAGTTTAATTTATTTTCTCAACTTGCCTGGTCATATTTCTCCCTGTTGCAAAGCTTTCCGGTGCTGCTGGGAATTGCAAGTGGCTCCCACACAGTCGATGCATAGATTGGTGTGAATCAATACCGTTCTACTTTATTCACACATCCCTTGTAATCAGAGAGAAAAAAGTTCCTTAGTAAGCTCCCAGCCTGCCAAGCTGTCTTATAAAAATAATAATAATAATAATCATAATAAACTGGCAGGTGGGGGTAGAGAGGGGATGTGAAACAGAGTCCTGTGATCACTGTCACCAAATCTTGTCTTTGTAGATTAACAGAACACACCGAGCAGAGGGACGGGACATTTTAATTACCCAGACAGTGAACCATGCATGTTTTTAACTTCTGTCTGCAAAGGTACTACAAGTCATCACCCCCAGAGTCTGGGAATGGGGACCTGGGGGTTTAATCCTGTGTCAGGGAAAAGCCATTCATTCCTCAGCCCCAGAACCCGACTGCTAGGACCTGAAAACTCAGCCCTGGCTTTGCCACCTCCTTATGTTGTGCCTTTGGAGAAGTCACTTCAATATTCCCTGTGGTCTGTCTGCATCCCCCTCACTTCTTTGCCCCCTCCTCTGAGTTTTCGTACCACAACTCAGCTTGTTAGAGCCAAAAACTGTCTGGGACAAAAGCTGACAAAAGCTGTTACTTCCTATTATTCCAATTTCCTGTGCTGCAAACACAGGGAAGGAGAGGTTCTGGTTTCCAAAGGAGCAATTCTGCACATTCAGGGAACACAGCCATCATCTGAGACGCACATCTCGGATTTTACCTCCTCATCTCCAAGGAGGGTTTGCTGGGGACACTGGTGACCACACCTGAAGGCACCACCTGCTCCAAGGTGACAGGATCTCACCTCACCCTCGTGATAACCAGAGCAGGAGAGGCACGCACCAGCAGATGGATGGGGAAGGAGGAGGTTAAAACCTGTGGTCCAGGCTGGAAAATATCCTCACTGCCCTGTAGCATGTGCTCTCCAGCCCTGCTGCTGTGACTGACACCCACCAAGACATGACCTGCCAGCGCATCCACCAGGTGTTAATGCACACCTCGGGAATGGGGCACAGGCAGGCTCTCTTGGCAGGCACACACACCTATTTAAAGTGTCAGTAAATTCTCGGGAACAGGAGAGTAAATTCTCAAAAAGGAATGAGCAGATAAGTGAGCACCCCGCTCGGGCATGGAGCTCAGCACACAGCTGGACAAAGGGCACCAGCAAGATCCTCTCTGCTTTTCTCTGGGCAGGCTGCAAGGCTCAGGCTCCTTGCTCTGTCCTCCCACGGCATTTCCAAAGTGAGAGAAAAGGCACCTTGGGGTGACACGGGGCAAAATCCACCCAAACCGGCTCTGGGGAGGGGTTTTCCTCAGGGGAAAATGAAGAGTCCAGGGACTTGTCCCTCTCTCAGTGAGCCACTGTGACCGAAGGTCAGGGCCGGGATGGGGTCCCAGGCAAAGCCCTCGCAGTGGCAGGAGCAGCCAGGGACCCCGTGCATGTCACAGACCCTGCTCCTGTCAGCAGCTCCTGAACTCCTGGTAATAAATTCTTCATAACAACAAACCTTCATTAAAATTTTATTTTATTAATGTTCTGAAATCAAACCAAAGCACTGAGTACATAATGACTGAGATGCACACTACGCTGAGCTTACTAAATGCCACTTTTATCATATTGTTAATTAACAGAAACGATTAATGTGCTCGCAGATCATTTAGAAGCATTAGCAGTGACCTAAGAAAAATTGCAGGTACGTGTGATACATCTGCACTTTTCCATCAGAATTTTCTACGCAGGAGGCCCTGAAGTTTGCTCCCAGTCCAGCTTCTCTCTGTTGGGGACATCTGTGTCACAACGGGCACAGATCTGTCAGCAGCTCAGGAATTAAAGCATCAGGCTGGAATGGGAGATACCGTAGGAGCAAATTACCTCCACCTTTTCTTTTTCCTCAGTATTTGGGAGCAGCCCCACCCTCACAGCCTTTCACTGCTCCCTGTTACTCAGGTACAGATCTCCCAGCTTCCTAAGGAGTCAATAGTATGGAAATGCTGGGAATGCTGCTGGGTGAGAGAATATAACAGACTCCAGCAGGTTTCTTTTTGCTATCAGAGAAGAAAACTCCAAGTATTTGTAAAATCCAATTAGTCCATCTACAACCAGAATGGGAACCTTGTGCTCCTGTCTATTCACTAGTGAGACCTACAGATTTTGGCAGCCAGGCAGGGACAAAGGCCACCACCTTTGGTGGAGCCCAGTCAGGCTCCCACCAGAAAATCAAGCCCCTGATGCTGCCTCAGCCACCGAGTGCCACGTCCTGCCATCTTTATGTTTGCCCACAGGCATCAGATACTCTCTGCCTGTCAATTCCTCCACAGTTTATTACCAAATTTCTAAAATATTACATTTTTTATTATATCCAAATTCACTTTATTGCATTTGACAATACAGATAATCACATACCATATGCTCTAATGTTTCGAACCCAATGCATGTTGACAGCAGTTTTTATTCATGATGCATAATTCCATCCAGGGCTGACAAAGGCGGTGCAGAACCCAGCCTGGTGTCAGGGTTTGGAAGGGGGGGGGAAATCCTTTTTCCATTTCCTTTTCTTCCTTTTAACAACAGATTTACAAAACTGGGAGGAAAGATGCTTTGCTTTCTGAAGAAATAGGAAATTGGCTGAAAAGATGGGCTTATCAAAGAGATGTCTTCAAAATATTAATAACGTGTGGGGGCTGGTTATTGTAATTATTTGCACATGAAACTTGCTGCTAATGGGGTGAGAAAAGCACAAGGGCTCACCAGGAGGGAGCAGAGGATGGGACAGTGTGGGGGACTCGAGGCTGGACCCCCCAGTCCTGCACATCTTCCTGCCTGGCTGTGGTCACCCGGTGCTGAGGCCAGCTCCTCTCTCCCAGGTGAGGGTGGGAAGGGACACCTGTGTCCTGGGATGGCTGGGGGAGAGTCCCTGTGTGAAAACCCAAGCAATCCCACGTCCCCACCTCATATTCAGGCAATAGATCCAACAACTTGAGAGATGGCCACGCTGTGCAAACCAAACAGGATGCTACATCTAAATTAAGCTGTAATGACCCACTCTGAGCTCTTTATTAGCCAGGTAATGATCATTTAAGAGGAGGTTACTATCTTGAGCCAAGGGCACCTAATACCATTACTGAACTTGTTAAAACCTGCCAAGCAAGTCATTATTTCCAGCACTATTTCTTTTTCCCTTAACACAGCTTTCTGCCTCTCCCCTTGTGCTGCTCGGCCGTAAATCCTGGGATCAGGCAGGCTTGGTCACCCTTCCCCAGGAGGCTGAACTGAGCTCCCACTCACCACGAGACAAATACTGCACAAAAAGCAAGTGCTGAAAAACTCTGACTGGATGAGCTTTAAGGTCCATTCCACGCCACACCATCCTGTGATTCTGAGAACAGGACACTGAGATGTTCTCCTACCCACCACAGGAAAACAACACTCAATCCCCCACATCCCTCGCCAGCCTCCAGCCTTGCAAAGGCTCGTATCAGAAGAGAATAAGAAAGAGGGGGAAAATAAAGGAGGAAGCCCACAGCGCCCAGGCACTGCTCAGCAGCTCTGTGATGAACTCTGGTGGGTGCTGGCACACGGGCTGTGCCCGCTGAGCCTCTGCCAGCGCCACCAGCTCGGCCGAGGATCGGCCACCCGGCTGGGAAGGGGCAGAGCCTCTCCCTGCACCCCAGCCTGGACAATATTATGAATGACACCAGCAAGCTGCCAGCTCAGGAACTCATTACTGTCAAGGTAGAGCGTGGCTGGCTGCCAGGCCCCCAGCCCTCACGCTCGCTATGCCAGAACATCCACACACAATTTAATTGCATTATAATTTCAAAAGTGCTTTTCAAACTGGAAAAAGGCATTCACTGATTAACCAGCGAAGAGCAAAATTGTTTATGAAATTGAATACAAAAAGCTACAGAAATGTAATTGGGTTGTTCTAGCACCTAATTTTCAAGCCATTTTCCCACTTATTTAATCACGAGATACAAAAGGAACTAGTGAATTGACTTCATACTAATTAGATTACTCCCTGCGATACTCCAAGCCTATATTCCAACTGGTTGATAGCGCTGCTTTAAACAGAACAAAAAATGGAGCAACAGCTTGTCTGGGGCCATAACGCATTTGTTTCCCATCAACCCTCTTCTACTGGAGGGCCATAAAACCCAGGACAAATTTCCCCTAACCTGCCATTGCCAGTCACCCAAAAAGCACTCACTCTCCCCAGACGGATGACAAGCATTTGCCAGATGATCCTGGCTGCCCATCTCAGTGATCACCCAGGTGGGGCATCCCTCTGGAGCAGGGAGTGCCCACGGCTGGGATCGCTGCACAGAGAAATGTCACATACATGGAGGAACCGGCTGTCCCCAGCAATGAGCACTCAGGCTCCCCAGGCAGGAACACCCAGTGAAGGGGAGCTCTGGTTCCCACTGCTGGGTGCAGGAAAAGCCCCACAGGCAGAGCTGAGCTCTGGGTCTGGCCCAGGGGCCAAAGCCAGCACAGAATTACTGCCAACATCACCGGGGCTGTTCTGAACACGTGCTGCAAGGTCATCTCTAGACAGAAAATATTAGTCCCTTTCCCAGCAGCAAACCAGGGGAGCAGCAGACAGCTTATTTAATTCTAAATCAAGTCACTAAATTAACAAAATTTAAAGTCACTAAATCAACTTGATAAAATTTAGAAATTTTATCAAGTCTCTGGTTTCCTGAAGAAGAGTATTTGAAGATCCATCTACGCCTGCTCCTTTGCAGTCTATGCCGGCAGAAGTTTTTCTAAAGCTGCCCAAGACCAACTCTGCACCTGATACAATCTGCTCACGGCTTTTCCACTAATTTTAAATGTTATTAGGTGCAACATAATTGATTATATAATCAAATGTAGAATGTACATTATCAAGATATTGTAGCACTTCACAGGCCATTTAATCAGCATATCTGGGACTGTGCCAAAATGAATTAGCCTGCATTAAATTTCAAGTACATATTATTGGTTGTATTTGTCTCCATGTTTAAGCAGGCGCTTGCTCTTACAAAAGAAATCTAAAATCCTTCAATTATAGAAATAGGTTATTAAAAAAGTGCAAGTATTCTTCCCCAGAGCTGTCTCTTCTGCAACCAAGAGCCCAAAGCTGTCTTTTCTGTGACAAAGAGGGGGGACAACACGTGCCAAACTGCAATGGGGCATTTGTGGGTGCCTTTTATGGGGAGGCTGGGAGGGGCAGACCCCCAGCTTGCCCCCATCCAGGCCCACTTGTGCCACATCTCAGCAATGGTCCAGTTTCAGGCTCTGTCACAGAAAACCCGCCAGCAAAAGGCACCAGGACTCAGAGTGCCCTGGTTTGTGACGGGGCCATGGTTCACCTCCCGAGCCTCTGTGTCCCTGGGGCCAACCACTCCCCCAAACTGAAAAGGGATTTTAAAGACAGGGATTTCTGCTTAATTTCAGCAAGTGGAGGAGAAGCATGAGGCAGCTCCACGGTGGAGGAATGAGGCCAAAACCTGCCACTGCTGCTGCTCCTCTCCAAGCACCTGCCAAGCCCAGAACCTTCCCCTCGTCTGTGCTGCCGAAATTCAGCCCCCCCACCATGGACTCCGGGGTGCAGCAGCTGCCAGAGGTGCCCCCAGAGAAATGGTGCATCCCCAGCACTGACTTTGCAGGGGGAAACGTTCCCAGCAGCTCGCTCAAGGTGACTCCTGCCTACCTGGATCCTGCAGCAGAGACAGCTCAGGGCTGGGGGACAGAGCCCCCCCCCAAACACACGCGGCTCCAGGCTCCCCGGCTGCCAGCAGAGGTGACAGAGTCCTCCCTGCAAAGTGCAGAGGACGGGAAGCAGAGGGAAGGGCACTGCTGGGAGCAGGCAGGTGTCCCTCCTCCTCTCATTAACACACGAGCACCAGCTGAGATAAACGGGCAGGTGAGAGGCCACGCTCTGCCATGGGCTGGGGGAGCTGCTGCAGCTGGCACTGCGGTCCCCAGGCAGAGCCCAGCGTGGGGCTGCACCCGCAGGGACACCCCTCCACACTGGTGCTGCCACTGTGACACTGGTGCAGCCCTGGCATCGCTGCACCGAGGCACCAATTCCTCTCTCTCCCAGGATTTTTCATAGAGGAGCACAGAGGAAAGAAACAGAAAACAATTTCTATTTCTGCTCCTCATTATTCCCATGTGGAATGTGTTTGGAGAATTGCTTAACTGGGTGATTGCTTGATTGGATTCTGGTGAGGCTTGTTTGAGCCTGATGGCCAATTCAACCCACCTGGGGCTGGGCTCTCAGAGAGGGTCACGAGTTGTTAGATTTGGTAGTTAGAAAAGTAGGTATGGAGTTTTAGTATCTCCTTTAAATAGTATATTAATGTATTGTATTATAAAAAAATCATTCAGCCTGACCTGGATTCAGGCATCAGCATTCCTTCCCACTGGGCTCACCTGCATTTCCAATACACCAACTCAAATTCACTGAGGTGAACGAGGACATGAGGGCACATTCTACAGGTGCACCCCACCGTGCAGTGCAGAAAGCCCCCCATCTTCATTAATGCTTCTCCTCACTGTGCTTTAGCTGCTGGACTTGCATCCCTCCCCAGGTCACTGCTGCTGCTGCACCCACAACCCGCTGGCACGCTCCTGCAGCTCTGCAGCCCCTGTGGATCTCACCCTCCCTGGGCTGCATCCCGAGGCACTGCCAGCCCTGCCTGGAAGGAGAGCACAGACTCTCTCTGGTCCTGCTGACTCCATACATCACAATGCAAAGGAACAACAAACCAGGCACCAAACAACAAAAACTATTCAAGGAATTGAAATAATTGACTAGGGTCAAGGGAAATACCAGCAAAAATGAGCAGCTTAGCCTCAGGTTAAGCTAATCCCTTTGAGCTGCGCTGTATGACCCCTCTGGGCTAAAACTTGGGGCAGCACACAACATTCCTGGACATTATTAATATCCTTGGCCAGGACTCCATCCCTGCTGCTCACGCACCCTATCAGTACTTGCCTAAGCAAACACTGCAGAGTGCTGTGAGGCACAGCCTGGCCAGGACAGCTGCTTTCAACGCACACACCGCTTGTTCCTCTGGATACACATGTGAAGAGCAAAGTATTTGCTCAGCTATTCCTGGAAACCAGCTCCCACCACCAGGGAGAGGCCAGCCCGCTGCAGCTCCCACCACCACCGAGGGTGAGATACAGCCCCAAACACCCCTGCAAATGCTGACCCAGACTTCCCCTGTGAGCATGGGCTGAGAACAAGAAAAAGTTCCAACTGCTGGGGAGTGTGTTCCCAGGAATGCTCTGATAGAAGTACATGAGGTGGGGGAAAACACCCCTTTCAATGTAAGCTTGATACCTGATTTTTGTTCCGGCCCACAGGTGAAGCGAGGTAACACAGAACCACAGAATGGGCTGGGTTGGGAGGGACCTTGGAGCTCCTCCCGTTCCCAGCTCCTACCAGGGGCAGAACACCTTCACTGGAGCAGGCTCAGACCCCCACCCACGCCTGTGGCTGTCACAGGGTCCCCTCATTAACACCAGAGATGCTCCTGGCCCAGCACCCACCCCAAGCTCCACACCCCTCCCCTGAAACAGGGCAAACAGATTTGCTCCTTCAGCAATAGCTCCAGATAGTCAGGAGTGATCAGATTTTACACAGGACCAGGGGCAAAGGCTGACAGCGGCCGTTAAAATGCATATATCAAATTTTTAACACGGCGTAATTTTTTTTTATATGGCAGACACACTCATCCCGACCCCCGTTCACATGGCAAACCTGAATGCAGCACTGAGACATTTTGGGACATTGTGGGACATTGTGCTGTCCCCTCTGCTCCCCGGGCACGAGGAGGGGGTGACCCTGAGGAGCCGTGCAGGGCTCGGGGCCAGGTGGGCACAGCCCCTTCCAGCCTGCCCCAGCACCCTCCCGTGACCCCACACAGCACCCACAGCTCTGCCCAACCCTCCAGGAAACTGAGGATGCTCCTGCCTCGCCCAAGGAGCACGGGCAGGGAGCAGCACAGGAGATAATCCATTTATGGAGCCGTTTGTTGATATTACCAATCTCCCACTGAAGTGACCAGAGTAAACCTAACAGATCTTAATCATTTTTTCCACTGTTGGAAGCCAGCAATAAAAAAAAAAAAAAAAAAAAAAAAAAAAAAAAAAAGCCACAAAAAAAGCCACGGGTATATTTTGGGAGCACTGTCGGAGAAATCCCATTGTTCTTTGCTGCATCAATAAAAGCAGTTTTGCTGTTTGATAGTATAAAGTGTTCAAGAACCAGATGCAACAAAGGAGCAGAATCACCCTGGGAAAGGAAACTTTTAATAGGGAGCACACAGAGCAGAGCAGCTCTGTAAAAGGGATCTGCTGGGAAAGGAGAAGGAAAACAAGGCTAAGACAAGCACAAAACCCAGAGCCCTTTGCCAATAATGACATCTAAATTTTAAAGTATCACATCTAAAATAGGCTTCCTGATGCTCCTTGGGTACAGCAGGTGCTTCCCTTCCTCTGCAGCCACTTTTCAAGACCATACACAGATGGATGAGGTAAGAAGAGAGGGACTTTCTCTGCTGAGCCATCCAAAATCCAGGATTTGTTATCACTGAGTGCTTCACGTTGTCTTCTGACTTCCTGTGACAGCTCCAGCCCTCCCTGCTGCGAACGGCTCCTTTGAAATTGTGTCCCCTTCATCTATCCCTGTCCCAGCCAAGCACAAGCACCTTCCTCAGCTGTGCCCAGCCTCGGGAAGCCAGGGGCTCACCCGCTGCAGAGGGTGGGATGAACAAACCCCCGCGGATGGATGGGCTCCTGCCACAGCTCCCCCCGAAGCGCAGCCACGCTGCTCTGTCATCTGCCACCTTCAGAGGTGACCTTCTCCAGTGCCTCCTTCTGCTCGAATCCATCCCAGCCCGAATCCCAGGTGCACAGCCCCGGCAAAGCTTTATTAAAGCTTCCCTCTCCTCCCCGTGTTTTGGCGACATTGTTTTATGGATTTTCCCCCGCGCTCAACCTTTGTTCAAACCATCCGGGAAAACGCTGAAATCTTTATCCTTAAGAACAAAAGCGTCAGGAGCAGCAGGCACAGCAGGGGAAACGGGGAACTAATTACACACCCTGAGCATTCCCTGGGGTTTCCCACAGCGCCCAGAACTCCAGCTCCATCCCCAGGTGCCGGGGCAAGCCCAGACTCCGAAAAGCAGCCGAAGGCGCGGATCCTGACCCGAGCCCGAGCACGCCGGGCAGGTGGGGGAGGCTCTCCATGAGAACCCCTCTGCCTCCCCCTTCCAGAGCAGACAAAGAGCTCTCTGTGGAGGAGCAGTGTTTGTGCGATGACCTTTTCCCGTGGTCCCTGCAGGCTCTGCAGAACAAAGCCGTGGCAGAGCTCACCGCGGCCTCTGGGCAGCGGGAAACGCGGCTGCTCCTCCGCCGCACTCCAGTTTGGGGTTCTGGGGGGGTTTGGCATTATTCTGCTGGGACAGTCAGCACTGCTGCTGACTGGAAACCCTCTGGAGCTCCGCCTGATGCCCCGTCCAGCCTCACACGCTGCCTCCAGCGACCGGCTCAGTGTGTCTGCGCACTCCAAGCTTTTAAGTGCCACTCTCAGACTTCCTGACTGGTTCAAATCCCATTTTGTAAAGGGCAAAGCAACCTACAGGGATCTGTGCACTCCCAGGGAGTAGGAACTGCTCGTGACACAGCCCAAGCACAGAGAAATGCTCCGGCCAGGCTTCCTGCAGCAACTCCCCCAGCAGATTTACACTTGCTCAGGGATTTACTGGGTCAGAGCAGGGCACTGCCAGGACAAGGGCTCCTCTGGACCAAGTCCTTCTTGTTTCGAGCTCTTGGGCTGCAGCTGCCACAAAGTCAGAGAGTCCATCTCCAAACTCTCCTCCACAGACCTACAATCATATTTAACTGGAGAGAGGACAAAGGAAATTCTGGGCACAGCCTGTCTCACCATGAAATAAGGCCTGGCCAGTCCCAGAGGATTATTCAGTGGCAGAGACAGGTGGGAAGCCCCAGAGGAGCCATTTCCATTCTGGGCATCAAAAGTCAAAAGGACCAGAGGATGAAGCCGCCAGACTCCCACCTTATACTCCTGCTTGGCAGGATCTTCACCTCCCAACCCAGAACGGGTGTATTTACCCTGTTTGTAAAGCATTTGGGTGGAAGGACCTACAGTATCTGTGGAAGGAGAAAAGAAAACCCAACAAACTACAGCACCGTGCAGCTCAGCACAAACCCTCAGCGCCAGTCACCGGGAACAGGCTATTTATAGCCGAGGATCATTAACTGTATTAAAAAAGTTTGATGTTCTCTAACAATCCGTGTCATTCCGAAGCCCTGGCCTTCCCCCTGACGCTGGCTGATAACTGGAGCAGTGGTGCTGAATAGAGGTAATTATACACCAGTTCAATAGGCTGAGCCCCGCGCCGAATGTGAGCGTGTCCTTTCCCCAGGGCTCTTGTTCAAATATTATTCCAGCTCCCACAGCCAACCACAGGAAGAACACTGCTATGGATACTCTCATAAAACTGCATAATTATGAATAATGCTTTGGTTTTAACAAAATAAATCACCACACACTAAAAAAGTGCTTATTCCAACCTAGTGCTGCAAGAGATTGAAATGGCAAGTGAAGCGAGGTGTCTCACTCCTGAAAGACTGATGCTCTCTGGTATTTACCTGTTTCTGCTGGCCTACCTGGCTGTGGAGCACGGGCAGGGCTGGCAGGATCACTGCAGCACCTGGAGCCCACCTGGGCAGGGGAGCTGGAGCAGAGGTGCTGAGAATCCTCTGGAACAGCGGGTCCTGTTATCATTTTTTTATCATTATCCTGTTATCACCCCGCTGTTATCAGCCCCCAGGCAGCTATTCCAGCCCTGCTCCAGACATGGCACACTTGGTTCTCCTCCAGCTCAAAGTTTATCAGCTGGTGAGAAATGTACAGGCGAGGAAGCACAGATAACGTGAGGCTGATCGTTATCAGCAGGCACAGAAAGCCCTTCTGATATGACACATCCAACATATGGCTTTAAAGACTTCATGTTTTGATCTGCTTCATGATGTCACTGTCAGCCTGGCGAGGCTGACACCACCTTCCACCCATCTATCCCAGGATGGGAGAGTTATTTATCCTTTGCCCCGGAGTGCAAAGGGATTGGGAAATAATGCAGCCCCCAGAGGTGCCTGCGTGGCCACTCCTCTGGCTGGGCACACTCCTGGCAAGTGCCAAAATCATCTGTGGTCAGCTGTGTGAGCCAGGAAACTGGTATGGAACCAGCTGTTGGCTGTTTTGATTATTTCAGCGTTCCCCCAGCCCAGCTGATGTCAGCCCTGGCCAGGCAGACCCCACCAGCCAGTCTGGCCAGCCCAAGGGCTCAGTGGTCACCCGTGGGCATGAGGGCTGGGCAAACCTGGGGCTCCATGGCACAAACCCCGCTGGCATGAGCACACTGAGCCCAGGCTTGTGGGCTCTCTGCTGGCTGGTTCTGGGCTCTCACACAGAGGGTGGACACACCAGAACCCCGTGGTTGCCACACTGACCCCGGCTGCAGCCAGGCTGCTCTCCCTGCCAAGCCTCGCCGTGGTTTTGAGCACCTTCCCTTTAAACTCTCAGGAATAAGGGCTCTCCTCCCAAACACTCCACACAGCCCTTGTTTCTGAGCTGCCATCACAGCGCAGCACTGCTTACAGCCCCTCCAGCCTGGCACAGCCTCACCGTGCCCTGTCCTGCAGGAGGAGGGAGGGGTGTGCTGCCTTTGCCTGCCCTGCCCGAGCTGGCAAAGTGCCCTGGGCATCACTCAGAGGCTCTGCAATCCCCACATCTGCTCTGAGGGCATTTTCCTGACACATTTTCCTGGCAGATCCTCCCATCCCTGCTCCCTGTGCTGAGGAAGTTCCTGGTGATCCATCCCCGTGGCTCCTGCCTCCCACCCCGCTCTGTCCAGATAACCACGGCGCTTTTTAAAGTTATCTTCTGCCACAGGAGACACACACCAGAGCAGCCTTTCTGCTGGTCACTGATGGGAGCCTTCAATAGATCAGCAACAGAGATATTTCCACGTTTAAAATCAAGTTCAGAAAGACAGGTGGGGAAATGGAAGAAAACATTCAGATAGTTGGAGGTTTTCTGACTTTCTGGTAATTTTCCCATCTTCAATGCAAGAATAAAAGGTTTGGGTGTTTTTAAACTAAAATCCAGCTTTAAACTCAGTATTTTTTTTCCTTCCAAAAAAGCTTTTCCCTAAAGAAGAGTGAAGTCTCACCAGAAAATGCAGGGAAGTTGCTGTTGCCTATTTTTTGGAGGTTAGTACCTTCTTCACATGTACCAAATACATCCACCCCAACATCCTGCCCAGGAGATAACCTGATGCTCAAGGCCAAGGTGAGTAATGCCTGTCCTCAACTAATCAGCAGGTAATTAGCTGGAAGAATTCAGAATGAAGCTGCAGATGAAGAGCAAACCTTCAGCCACTAAATTCCATCCTCAAATAATGAGACTTTATTTTAATTTCACAGTAATAATATTGCCCAGCATCCCCTCCTCTTATTTACCTCCAGGAAGGAACATTAGCATAAAAACATAATAAAAAATATCCAGCAAGCAGCTTTCACCAACTCCTGTGTATCACTCATCATTAAATTTGGGAATTAAGCCCTGTTAATGGACACAAACCATCATTTTGAGCGTGCAGGCAGTGTTAATATTTGAATAAGCCAACAACAACAACAAAACAGAGGACTAATACATGCACGGTCATTCTTTTGAGCAGGGAGGATTCAGTTTTCATTTTCACAGAATATTAAACCAAATTTTAATTAGATTATACCAGAGCTTCCCTAATAAGTGCTTGCAAGGGGAGTTCCATTGGGCAGAGACATGCTCTGCAGTGGAAGAGAAGAACTTGCCAGTTAAGTGGCTTAATCACTGAAGAGCTTTGAGGTGGTTTCCTTGCTCTCTTCACTGTGGCCACCTGACACTTTACCAGGAGGCAGTCAGAGATGTTTAGCAAAAATAACTTTTCTGGAACAGGAGAAATGAGCTTGACAAACAGCAGAGAGATCAGAAAAGAAAACAGAAGGAACAAAAACCTGCCAATACACGAAAGACATCCTGTTCCTTCCCAGTGACCCGAAACACCCAGGTTTGCCACTTCAAACCATCTCAAAGGAACAGTCCCAAGGAACAGCTCGTCCATGGGGACCGGTGCTGTCCCCACTGGGTCCCCCCGAACGGCTCCTGAAGCCACTCTCACACTTGTGCAGGGGAGGAGAGCCTAAAACCAAGCCAAGGAAAGCAGAGCAGGTTGAACTGTAGCTGACTCAGATACCCAGACAGAACCAGGACCCAGTTTTGGTCCTGCTGAAGTCGGCCACAAGTGACACAGCACAATATCAGCTCCAGCTCTACGTGCTGAGGACAGGCTGCCCTAAATAAAGCACATCCCCCCCTCCATCAGCTGCACTTGTGACCAGTGGCCTTTTTAATATATTTTCTTCCTTTTTTTCTTTCTCTTTCCACTTTTTACTCAGCTGGCCCCCCTGTTTACAGCTCGCTGCAGCACAAATCCTTATTTCATGTCACCCACTGGCCCAAGCTGTCCCCACTCACTGTTTCTCCTAGACAAGTTAATAAGATGGAAGGCTCCCCGGAGGCCTCGAGCCAGCGAACATTATCACTTGGAAGCAAGGCAGAAATACTGACACATCGGAAATGACTTCAAGCCTATTAATTACCCTTTCTTCTCTGGCAGATCTTTGAGAGAGAGCTTGACAAATTGAAAGGCAGCAGAGAGCATCCTCCCCGTCCCAGGAGCCCCTACCCACGCCAACAACAGCAAAACACACACCCCCAAAAAAATTACTTGTTTTGCTATCAATTAAATCATCAAAAATTAGCTGAGACAGAGGCTGCCTGTCAGTGACAGATCTCCCCTTCCTGTTTGTGTTCCCATTTCCAGAGGCAAGATGCAAGCCACAGAACATGGAGCACTGGCACAGCTCTCCCACCCGTCAGGGACACGGAAAACGCTGCTGCCCTGGCAAAGTTTGGAGCTTTCTGTCACTGAATGCCAATGATCTCCATCCACACCATCCAGCCCCTGCTCCTGATGTGCTGTAAAACCCCGTGAATCCCCTTCAGCCCCTCCCTCAAAATGTATTTTCAAATCCTTGCTGGCATAATTGATCCTAATTATTATAAGCATTAGATATTAAATGCATTCCTACATGCAATGTGGCTTCAACTGTGGGCTTTCAGCAAAGTCTATTGTATAAATAAATAACTGGATTTCTTATTCAAGAGCTTCAGATGTGACAGTATTAATTCTGATGCAAAGTAGCCACGCAAGTCGAGATAAAGTCACTACCTGCCACTACGGCTTTATTTTTAAGGTGATTTCCATAATTTCTGGTTTAAAAAAGAAAAAAAAAAAACTTCCAAAATAACCGGAACAAAAATCTTCGGGCTGTTACCTAGAAAACTATCATTAAATCATTTGTTCAGTTTTTATTAGTATCATTGTAATTAAAGGGAATCATATTTCAAAAACATCTCTTCAACAGCACTTATCAAACCCCATCCCTGCAGCCTATCAATTAGGATTACAATAACCTCGTTCCCTTGTTGCCTTTGCCATTAGCATTTTGATTGAATGGCTGTTGAGAAGTGACTGGTACCAGAAGATTGTGTTCACAAAGTAACGTTTCTTTATTCGCTTCCATTGAAGCTTGTCTAGTTGTCTCCAGTTCCTACTCAAAAGAGACAAGACAGTTCCAAAAGCAGTAATTTTGATGCAGGATTATTTTTTTTTCCCTCTCAGCGAGGTGAGATAGATTGGGTTAGGCTGGACACAAATGCTGTTAAATCACCTGGCAGCAGATGTGGGGCTGCTCTCGGCTCGGACCCCGACGCTCTCCAACCCCACCAAGTCCCAGAAGGGTTTTGGGGCAGGAATGGCCACAGCCAGTGCCAGCACCTGGGGAACACCCAGCCAGCCTCTGCAGACACCCCTCCTAGAGATTCCACAAATAACAACAATAATTTATAATGCCTGAACTACTCGGGGAAGTTTTTGGCTATGTTTATTGCTAATAGTATTGAATGTGAAAGGCAACGATTTATCAGCCAAGCCCTGGCACTTTGGGAATGCAAGGGAGAGAGTTCTCCTGCCCTAATAACGGCACTAACGAAGGACAGAGCAGCAACCAATGTCATCAGGAGGGGGATGGATGCATTCCACCACTGCATGAATTATAACAACCAGAGTTCATTAAATCTACCACATTAAAATAAAAATGACCTGCCACGTCAGACAGTTTTATTTACTGATATTCCCACTGCTGATGCCTCCCCTGATAAATCCAAGTCCGTGGCACCACGAGCAGTTATCCAAAAACATTTCCATTACCTGGACGTGCTGGAAACTCCAAAAAACAAAACATCACACTGCCAAAGTTCAGCCTGACACTGGCATGGCAGGAGCAGGGCTGGCACTGACCCTGGCAGCACCTCCACCCTGCAAAGCTGTGGTGGGCAGGGGTCGGTCCTGCCGTGCTTCCTCCCCTTCCTCAGCCTCCCCCATCCTGCCCAGCTCCTGCACTCCTCGGGAAGCCCCTCCAGAGCCTCTCTCCTCTCCTCTCTCCTCTCCTCTCCTCTCTCCTCCAGCAGCTCCGACTTTGCTGGCAGGCAGCCAGGAGTGTGTAATGGTGCCAGGTAGCAATTTCATTTTTAAAATGCTCTTATCAAAGATTTAAGGTGAAAGATAAGAAGAGCACACTACATCATCATAAAGGAAGCATTGTATAAGGCATAGTATTTTACAAATCAAAACAGTTATCAAAATGAAAAGGTATGAATATAAAAACAAATGGAGCCTGTGCTGTGGAGAGGAGGGGAGGGAGCTCTGGGTTCAGAGAATTGATCAAATTTCAGTTTTTCCTGACAAATCTCAAAAGCCTGTGAAGAACGGGAGCAGCAACACTTCCACTGTCATTTTAAACCAGAAATAAAATGTCAGGTACATTTACAGAGAGCATATACACACACACTTATTTATATGCCTTTTCATATAAATAGATCTATAAATATAGATACATATTTTTCATACCATTACCCACGGCTGTTGGGTGCTTTTATCAAAGTCATCTGACCTGGAAAGCATCTGTTGTTAATACCACTGTTTTATTATTTATCAAATCCATTTCTTCATAGAATGACTAATTTCATACCCACAGCTGCTCCCATCTTCCCTGTGCAGCTGCTCCTTCCCCGGGCAGCCAGGCAGGTCTGCAGCCCATCTCCAGCTCCCACCACCCTCCTGCTGCTCCCAAACCCTCCCGAGCCACAGGGGCAGCTATGAACAAGCTCTGTGCTCCTGCCCTACCAGGGAAGGAGCAGAATGAGGCCAAAGGGCCAGGGGAAAACTCATGGGATACCACCAGGAGTGGGAGAATGGGAAAAAAATGCCACACTCCTGTAATCTGATTTTTTGTTTTCCTGCAATTGCATCCAGGCAGCATGAAAGGAAGTATTTTTATCTCTTTATCAGTTTGGGTTTAGGGTGAGGAGGAACAGGGCTGCTAGAACAGGGACAGAAATGGCAAAAGCCAAGCCCCCACCAAGACTTAAAGTGATTTTAGCCCATCTGAACTCCCTGTGAGCTGACAGGGGAATATTTGTTGCCAGAAGGAAGCAAATTCTCCTGCCAGGCTTCTCCCTGTGGATCCTGCCCTAATTTCCAGTGCTCTGTGGAACACGTGTGGAACACACGTGTGTTCATGTGTGACTCCTGCAAGGGGTAAGGAGGAGCAGATTTCACCAGGGCACTGCTGCGACTGAAGTCAACCTCAGCTCCCACCTGACTTGCACTGGGGCTGGCCATGGTCCCGGGGAGAGCAAATGTGGAGAGATGGTTCTGTGGCCAAAGTGTGAGCCAGGGAGCCGGCCTGGATCCCTGCCCAGCCTCCCCACTGCCACACCTGACCTGGGATTCACCGTGGGGAGCTCCATTCCAGAGCTGCACAGGGTCTGCAGTCACCCACTGCAGGGCTGGGGGGTTGGTGGCACTGGATCTGCTCACTCCTGATCTCCTCCCACAGTGCAGAACTCAGCTCTCAGAACTGGGAAGGTGTTTTAAAATGGGGAACAATCTGTGAATTACTGCTCTGGCTGAAGGTAGTTTTCTGGTCCAGAAAACACTCAATAAATTAAAAAAGATAAAACCCACAACCCAAATGTGCCGACCTGCAGTTTTCCGAAAGAAGCCGTTTTTCAACTTATTCTATCGGATCCAGTGAAAAAAGTGCCAGATGTTCTTACTTCAGCTTATATATACAAAAAAACATACAGGATAAGCAAAAATCACTCCATGCCAGGACATTTAATCAAACTAATTAAAGAAATCTTCCATTTCCACCCCCCTGACAAGTCCTCCTTTGGAGCTTTTGCCTTGCACAAACAACCCTGGGAGCAGTATCACACACTTGAGCACATGTTCAGGTACCTGCCCAGGTGCACCTACAGCTTGGATCAGCATCCCCCCCACATTCCCAACACTGAAATGTCCAGAAGCAGAACCACAGCAGGGATGAGAGGATGGGAGAGCAAGTGGTGGAGCCTGCTCTGACAGAGGCTCAGGGGCAAAAGCTTTGTTACCAGCATTATCTGTGTAACCTCTGTTTGTGCTGAATCTCAAGATTTAGGGGATAGGGGATGTGTTATCTGTTTAAACAGATCACCAGGAGGCTTTTACATACGGCAATGACCTTGTACAACTAAAGGCTTCAGCAGCACCGGGCCTGGGCACAGCTGACAGAGGTCACTCACTGCGGGGTGACAGAGCGGCCCCTTTTCTGCAGCATCCTCCTCACCCTCCCTGCAAGGGCTCCAAAGATTCATTATCAAACCCAGCCAGCAGAAAGCACAGGTGTGTGAAAAACAAAAGCTCCCCCAGTGCACGTTGGAGAGGCTTTGCCCAGTCTGCTCCCTGTGATCCACGGGGAGAAGGAGCCAACACACCAGGGAGCGAGTGAGGCAGCGTCTCCCCTGATTCCACATCACATTTTTGGGCACGCTGCGAGGAGCTGCCTCTTTTCTCAAGGTCACCACGCTGATTTTAATTCTGCCTGCTGTATGCAGACTGCCCGTCTATGGAAATGTTGCATTTTGTTCTCCTCCCGTTTCTGGCCTTTCCTCAATTAACATTTCCAAACAGTCCCACAAGGCTCAGAGCGCTCCCTGCTAATCACTTGGCTCCTGCATTCAGGAAGCAAAAAGGGCTGGGTTTCATCAGCTGGGCAGATTCATAAGCAAGAACTTATTCATGGCTTTTCGGGTTTCTCTCAGCTCAGAGATGGCCAGGATTTGTGCTAGTTTCTCTGTCACTCAAGCTGGCAGTGAGAAGGCAAACTGAGCTCACTCCTCAAGGCAGCCTCAGCCGGGCACACGACATGCGGTTCTCTAACACCAGCTCTCCCCCTGCAAGTGTGACAGAACTACGATCACCATTTAGAAAACTTCAGAAACATTTGCAGAGCCCTCACTTCATGTTTCCTGAAGAACCCTGCAGAGCCCAGCCCTTCCCGGTGCTGCTGCAAGCGGAGCCTCCCCGTTCCTCAGAGCAAATCCCCACAGACATCTCTTCTTCCCTGGTGCACCAGCCAGGGCAGCTGCGCGCTCCTCTCCTCCCCTGGACGGAATTTTCATTACAGGTACAGAATTCAGCAGTGAGATCTGACAGACAGTGCAGAGCTGGGCAATCATGGCAAGCCCCAGTGGCATTATCCAGCGTGAGAAGGGGGAAGGAGGGCTGTAACACCCAAGGTGTTCCACAATCGCCTGGAGGAGCGTGGCCAGGAGATTTGCCATTCCGGGCCGGACTCCATGGGGCTCACACTGGCCTGGCTGTTCACTTTTACACTTCCCATCAGGTGCCCCCACGCAGCAGCAACAGGCACCGGCCAGGAAAGTAAAAGACAAGGGAGATGGATCCAAGAATTGGCAGCTTTTCCTTTTTGTTTTGTGTTTATTAACACCCAAGTGGGAGCAGGGCAGAGCAGGGCAGAGCTGGCGAGGCACAGGCACGGCACTGCCCCAGAGCAGCGTCACCCTGCCCCAGGGGGACACTCACAGCCTAAGGGGGACAAACTGGTGCCAAATGGGAGTACTGGGGAGCGGCCCCCAGCCCTGAAAGCAGAGCAGCTCTCCTCAGGCTGGCTCCCACTTTGGATCCCCCAGCCTGGAGGAGAACTGGTGACAAGGAGCAGAGATGTCAGCGCTGCTCTGCAGCGTTGCAGCCGTTAAT